CATGCATGCATACGTGCGTGCATACATGCATACAATCATGCAACACATGTGTAATACACATACAAGCATTCGGGAGCATGTGTGTATATTCTGCTGATATCGACATTTATATTGTGCAGCTACCTCGAATTGCCAGTCTTGAGCAACGGATCTAGGCCGGAGCCGCCGCTCAAGCGAGCGCGATCAGATGCCGACGCCGCTGTGACAGGTCAAAGTTTCCAGCAGCCGCACAGATAGTTAGTTCTCCGGCCAAATTAGGGTCTCTTTCTGGATCATTTTAAAGGGTGCCGTACCATTTTGGGTCAACAGGGACCCTCCTCATTGGTTAGGATCCCGTACTTGGGTTTACAGGGTGAAGTTTGGGAATTGCAGGGTGTGAGCCTGTAACTATTGGGTATCAGAACATCCTTGGGTATCATCATGGGAAGGCATTGTTAGCTCAGGTTATCGTGGTTAGAGGGCAAGTAGTAGTAGGTCACACGATCAGTGTCTGTTTTGTTGTTGCCTGATCGAAAGGCATCAAAATGGACTGCTTTTCGACAGGCAATGGGCGAGGAGGGTAGTTCCGAAAAGGGCCGAAGGAGGTTTCAATGTTGCTTGGGGTGAACTGGGGCCGAAGCATCAAAGTGAAAGCATTGGTGCGTGTTGCTAGGATGCTCGCCAGTTTCAAAACACTTCCAGCTTGAAAGCCCAGGTACCAAGAAAAAAGCAAGGGCAAACAACCCCCCCTCCAGGAATCTGAACATGCATCGTCGGGGCTGTAGAGTCGGGAATAATACATGAAGACATGGTGACAGTAGAGTACATCAGATATAAAACATCTCCCAGGTAAGACGCATCGCCCTTTTCAAGGGGCCGCACTTCTATTCTCGGAGTTTCGTCGCTGTCCAAGGCCGAGGCCCAGGCCTCGCCAGGCGACACCTCGGCAGTCGCGGGCCAAAGCTCTCCCGCCGCTTTGGATTGAAAGCCAGTGTTATGCGAGTTTGATTCGATTTCGGGCTTCCTCTCCCATAGCACGCTGAAGGACCGAGAAAGAGAGCAACGGGACCGACAGAGAGCGAGAGAGAGGAAGCAGCAGGTGCGCGTTCGCGTGCGAAGCGCAGGGTTGGACCGACCTGTGCTTCAAGCCTGGTAAAGAGAGAGGAAGCACATGGAAGCACTAAAGCAGAGCTGCTTCATAACCACTCTTGCTCCGGGAAGGGTGTGCGAGGAACTCAAGTCTTTCCTCATCCCGCCCCAGAAGCCGCAAAAGACCTAGCAAGACTGTGGACGTCTCTCAGGCGGATTCGATCGCCCCAGCACGGTGCGTCTGTGTGATGCTTCTAGGCGTGGAGACCACATGCAGCCTGAAAAGCCTCGATTCTACATTCGTTTCGGGGTGTGCTGATCTATCTTTGCACGTCAGACATATCCGAACTTACCCTGCAATGCGGGCTCGTCCAAGCTAAGCGGGAGGGAAAACATTCGTTTCGGGCATGTAGCAGTTGACATTTGGTTTCTTTGCCATACGTGCCGTACATGCCCCGAAACTTACCTGCGTTTGATCATGTTGGGAGTTAAAAGTGGACAGTTGTACACAACAGTCATGCAGCATTCCTGTTCCTGTATATATACGCAGCTGAAATTTACGGGCTTAGTTGAAAGTAAGAAACACTCTAAGAACTTGTATCAGGAATCAGGGACCAGCCCCAAATCATTTCCGGAGGGTGCAACGTTTGGAAACAACACAATGCAGCAGGATGTGCAAAATGTGTACCCAGATGGGATTGTTGGAGGCATGCGCGGCTCTGGGAAGACTTCCGTCTGCAGTGTCCTCCACGAGGCACGACGACTGTGCCACGCTTCCCCTACTCCTCCATCGGCTCCTCTGTATTTGCCACTGGCGCTTCTCTTCCTTTGCAGATCTCTTCCCCAGAAGCCATACTCACAGAGAGCCTGCACAATGAGCAGCTGCATGACGAGAGCTAGACGGCCGCCAGGGTTGGAACCGTGTTTTTGGAGATTCCGTCCACTAAGGTGATAGGGGGCATCCACATACACTATGATGGGATCAGCGCTTCCTCGACCAAAAGAGGCTCACGCAAGACATATGCACGCACCTTGGCGAGTTTCTGTTTGGTCCATTGGTTGGCTGCGGCCCAGGGGCGCGAGGCTAGCGGCTGAACGAAGCAGTGTTCTGAAATTCCAGCTTCAACAAATCCTGGCATGCGAGTGACGAATCGCGGGACTGAGTTGGATATAGTTGGAACCGAACCTTTGCAGAAGCCTGTGACCCGACCGTGCTGTCATTCACACGCGGGCCTCTACGTGCCAACATGCATCCCAGCTGCGGAACAGGCACTGCGCACAGTTGCTTGGGAGCCCAATAGGCTGTAAACCCGTTTTCAAAGAGGCTGGAGCGGCAAACCTACAGAACCTAAGCAGGCTTCAGTTTTTTTTTGCGATCCCACATAATCATGCTAAACCTCTTACGTGACTGCTTACCGCCAGAAGGCAAATGAACAGTCGTGGTTGCGACCCTTGCGGTTTTACAGCATACAGTAGCTTAGTAGAGTTGGTATTGGCTCCGCTTGTCTAAATAGACTCAAGGAGAGCTTCGGGCAGCCCTAGCACGCAGCTTGGCCGCCACACGCCGGAAGAAAGGCCCAACTATAGGAGTTGGGAGTTTCAGGGGGTTGTTGTTGCAAACCCTGAGCCGGAACGTTGCATGCCTACTACTTACTACCACTTGACTTGTTTTGCGCACTGCCTTGACGCGCCAGGTGAAAATGCCGAGGCTCGCTTTGCACAGCCATACCTGCAAAAGACTTACCGGAGAGGAAGGAAGTTTCTCATGTAAATGGCAGCTTTAAGTTTGAGTTGTTTTTGTAGTCCACGTTAGGTGATCCAGCAAAGGATCAAGGATTTTTTGGGTCAAGGGTGACTTACTGGACCTTCTTGATGGGGCCCTTTTGAAACCATGGAGTGTTGAAGGCGCAGAAGCCCGTCGCAGATGGAGACAACCTTCTTCTCATCGACAGGTCGCAGGGCTGGGCAGTACTCTACGTAGATAGCAGGGTTCGGGAAGCGAAGCGCGGAGGGGTTGTTCGGCCAGCATCTCTGCAGACAGGCTGCGACCGTTGAACAGGAACTCCTGCCTAAAAGCTCGCAGCTGAGACCCCACATGCTGCTTGCTCCTTCCAACTTATATGTATAGTGCAGATCCTGCCGTTTTGAAACTTCTGAATGCAATACGGCTTTAAGTCTTTTTGTGTCAGTCCGCGGCCTCCTGGTCCACTGATAGAAAAGTCATATAGAAGTCGCCTGCCGTTGCTTTCAGGACCAACATACTGCGTAGCCAGCGAGCGGACGCCATCGCTGAGCTCCAGCGACTACGCTGGCATAAGCGGGGCTGCCGGACGGAAGGGTGTGACCTGCGAGTTGTGGGCTTGGAGCAGTACTCCCTGACAGATCATGGAAGCTACCTGAAGTGCGGATGTGCAGCATTTGGGAACGTGCTGCGTGTTGCTGTTGTGTGGCTGGCACGCCCCATCATACGCACAAGACGTAGGTCGTAGTTGACCTTGGAGGACGATGCTGGTGGAATTCAGCCACCCCAATGATGAAATGGGCTATGGTCTCGAAGGCTTGCGCCTGAGTCGAGGGTAGCAAGGAGACAAACGTGAATCGACTTTGACTTGACTTGCTTCTGATGCACCTGCCCAATGTCTTGCGATGGTCAGATACGTAGAACGCCCATCACTCCTAAGACCACCCTGCAATATCCAGCACTAGGCCTAGGCTTTCTTGCGGAGAACTGCCAACAAATCGACAAAGTAGCCTGCATGGAGCCTCAACTCATCTTAACTCCACCCTTCGGAACTCGGCTAAGGGCAGCTCTCCAAGCGCTACGGAGAGTCCCACATCGGATTGCATCGTGGCTGCAACCTCGTCGCTCGATGTCTTTGAAGGTAACTATATCCCATATCCTTACTGAATAATCCCCTTCGTAAAGAACTTGCCTTGCTGAGTTTCTTTTGCAGGTGCGCCGGACGAATCGAGCAGCGTGGCTGTGCACACCATGCTCTGCATCCCGGCTGGAAGGCCTTGTGCTCTTCTCGTTCTCGTCTTTTCGGACAGCTTCAGGAAGCCTTCCGCCAGACTGCGGACGGTGCTACAAAAGGAGCTGCCAGCTCGAAAGGTAGCCAGGTCCACTCCTCGGTCACATGCCCATCCCCCTTATCCGTATCACTCTGATGACCAGGCTCATCGGTTTTTGCATTACATATATGGGCACGGGCCACCGAAACCACTGACGATATCCTCAGCCGGAGCACTCACCTCTTGCAGGAGGCCAAAGCCATGGAGCCCATATTGCCTGACGAGCAGCGCCACTTTGATAGCCAGATTTCCGTGGATGCGCCTCGGCTTGAAGCTTCCATGTTGCAAAACGGTGAGAGCCTTCCTCTCTGAGCCCACAGCCCACAAGCATCTGCAAGTCCTCAGCCCAAACTTGGGGTCAGTGCTGTTCCGTGCTTGAGGTGTCCGCGGCTCCTCCTGATGTTGCCACAGAGATTGTGAAGGATCCGGAAACTGGGGCCATAGCGGGGTCTTTCTCAGGTGCGCTACACTTCTGATGAATATAAGCCCGGGATGATGTCGAAACACATTCGAAAACCCAAGAAACTTGACCCTTGCTGGCTGTAGTGTTATTGTCAATTACAATTCATGATCATTGCATGTAAGCTCATCGTATTTGTGTATTTGTGTGTGTGTGTGTGTCATTTTTGGGGGTTGAGGGTCCGTGGTTCGGGTTTAGGATTTCAACGGGGTTTTGAGGAGTTTTAGTCGGGCATTTTTCTAGTGTCCGAGAGTCGAATTTTCGGCACATGGGAGCCAATGCGAGGCAATCCGCGAACGCGGTTGGCTCCCAACGCTGGGCGACACCCCGGACTGGTCTGTCAAGGTGGACAGTGTCAGACCTGCTAGTTGCTAGGTCGGACCGACCAGCAGTGCGATTTTCATGAGAGTGACGGAGAGGGAGAGGGAGAGAGCCTAAATGGGCCAAAATTGTGGAGTGCTGCAGGCTGAGCTTGCCTGGCAACTCTGCGCCCGCGCAGAGGCCTGGAGGATGTTGGCTTTAGGGTTGTCGGGCTGAGGCTTTATGGGATGTATAGGGTCCGATCGTCTTGGGGGCTTTGCGCCTGTAGGGCTTGAGGGTTTAGTTCAAGGTGCGAAAAAGTGCAGTTCTAGGAAACCATTGGCAGAGGCTACAGCAATGTACGGCGACGAACCACAGAACAGTTGCTGGTGTCAATCCCGTCCTCAGGCGATGGAACAAGTCGTTATGTCATTGTGTGCTTATGGGTGGGATAGCACATGCCCAAAGCTCACCGAATGTTGGGGCTGTTCTAATATCAGCGTCCCCCTAAGTGCCGCACATGGAGTTAACTGCGAAAATGAGCCCAAGAGGTACCGTGTCTTGAGGACGACCCCATGAATGACTCCTCTCCAACAGGAAAGGTGGCGCTTGGGTTCGGACACCGAGCGAGGCACGTGGTTGGCACAGTGCCGGCAGGCCAGGGGAGCACTTGCAAAGGCTGAGAAACTTCTAATGCCGAGCAGACTGCAAGTACGGCCCAGAGCATCTTGACATGGGTGCTTCACTGGTGCTTCATGGTGCACAAAATAGCTCGACACTGGTACAAGGTGCAGAAAAAGTGTACCATGTTTCTATCAACGAGTTCCTGCATTTTCCCTCACGACTACGAGGCCCAGGCAGCGGAGAAAGCCGTTGCCCAGGTGCATCGGGTGGCCATAACAGTAGCCGAACCCCCCCCCCTATGTATGGTTATATATGCTGCACTTGCTACCCCTTCTTGAGCAAGCCTGAACGAAGCCGTTGGCAAGAAGACAACCCCAGAGACGACCCTCCCTGACTGGACCTTTCAGCAAAACACTGCCCTTCGGACTGAAGCATCGCTCAGCATTCTTGTGTGATGGTCTGCTACGTAAGCTCCCGGAGATCTTCCAAAATGCAGGCCTGTTGGTCACTAGTCACTTGTCTTTTTCCATCCAGCCGTTTACCGACTCCGCAAAAAATTGGCATCACAGACTCGAACATCTTACTTGACCATGTGGATGTTCTGAATCGCGAACCTCAATCCCATAGTAATCCCCAAACCGATATGAGCCTACCCCGGACCCATCCCCGAAGACCTCCGAAGATCCCTGTCGTCTCCAGGCCGAGGCTCTCCGGGAGCGCGTGGCCAAGCGAGCGCAGCCGCAGGCCTACTACCGGGTCCTCTCTGGTGGAGAGAAAAAACCCGGAGGTCTAAGTTTGCATCTTTATCGGAAATCATTGCGGGAGTACAGGAGTGTGAAGGGTTTCAAGATTGTGCGCCTTTGGCTTTTTTTGCCTGAGAGAGCATGGGGCTTGTTTGGGTCTTCAGGCCGCTTGAGCTACCAGACACTCAGGCCTGAAAAAATTGTGGGCTTGCCTTTGCATCAGACACCAGGGTGATCTACCCTTTTGGCTACTTAGAGGGAACATGTCCATCTAGCCCATTGTTTGAGGGAACATGTCTATCCAGCCCATTGTTTGACTTGAGATGTTCAAGGCAATGATGCTCAGTGAGATCCTAGCTCAGCTGCTGTGTTGGCGCTTGATTGAAATGCAAGCAGATCACCTGCAGCAGGAATCAGAGCCTTTCTGGATGTTTGAGCTTCCAGAGGCAGAACCGGGACGGAAGGGGCCTAGCATTTTGGGATTCAGGGGATGGACTGGGAGAGCTTTCAGTCTCAGTCGTGGTGCAGGATGGTCAAGCAGGGACCTTCGCTAAAGACACTCTGACCTGGACTAATCCACAACGGTTTTTTCCAAGTCGCGATGCACTGAACCGCCATCAGTCCTGCACGGTCAGCTTGCCTCGTGGCAGGTTCGCCACGTTCTCGAGAACGGCGCGATTCTTCCCCCGACGTTCTCACCGGCCGAGGTTGGTCATGGTGGTTAGCACTAGGGCCACTACGGCCCCCTGACAGTACTGGGGTCTCAGAAAGCCGATGGGAGAACATTAAACTTGTTGGCCGTATATATTGGTCTATATTAGACCGTTTAAATTTTGTTACAGAAACGATTATTGAAGAAAGCAGTACGTAGTAGCATTAGGAACACTCCCAGGCCAGGCGAAGGAGTCAGCAGTGGCCAGTAGTATTGGTGGTGCTAGCTGAACTTAGCAGCCACAATACAACGGCGAGTGCAGCGTACTACGAGGAGGAGGAGGAGGAAGTCGTAGCTAGATGCATTGTTGGAGGCTGGCACTGCAGCGTACTGGCAGCACAACATCATGAAGGTAGCGGTTAGGCAGGTTCATGCATAAAGACAGGATCAGTGGACCAGGTACCATTTGGTAGTGCATCGTGGCCTAGGGGTGTGTAGCCGTTTCTTTCTGTGTTATGTGGTTTTCTGGAAACTAATGACGTAATTATACAACTATACAGGAAGCCGAGATCGAGGAGTGTTGTGTAAGTGGTTCGGGATCCGAGCTCATTCACCCTGCAGAGTCATTCTAAAAGTTAATCCTGAAGCGCTCAGGGCTTTGTGTTAGTTTATGAAGCTGCTCTTTTTTGGTTAAGCGCTCCTATCCCCATAAATCCTGTGCTCGAGACGAGCGGACTGAAGGGAAGGAGCGACCGAGGGAGGCAAGGAGAAGAGCAAACAGACAGATCCTCCGGCAGTCTACCTACGTACGGCTCCTGCAGCTACCTTCCGACGGGGATGTGGCGAGGGCTGCCGAGGCCCGGATGTCGCTCTCTGGCCATTTCAAGCAAGATACAGAGGATGAAGATGGGAAGAAGAAGAAGGCTAGAAGAGAACGGTGATGACCATGGTTTTCACCCTTGCTGTGGAGGTTGTGATGGTGAGGGAGTGGGTTTGGGCAGGGAAGGATCTTGAAGACGATCATGGCGATAACGGTGGTGATAGTGATGGTGTCGATGATGATGGCTGCGGAATGTGAGAAAATGATAGTGATCATGATGATGTCGATGATGATGATGATGATAACGATGATGCTGGTGCCGTGGTCGTGGCGACAATGATGGAGAAGATGATGATGGTAATGGTGATGATGACGATGATGCGACTGGTCATGCCAGCAGCAGCAGCAGCAGCAGGACTCTCAGTAAGAGGCAGCGCCAGAACGAGTTCGTAGTAGGACTAATACTGATAGTACTCGTAGTATTAGTATAGTCATCGTTGTCGTCGTCGTCGTCGTGGTAGTGATTGTGGTTGTGCTTGTGCTTGTGGTTGTGGTTGTGGTGGTTGTTGTGGTGGTTGTTGTTGTTTTGGCTGTGGCTGTGGCTGTGGCTGTGGCTGTGGCTGTGGCTGTGGTGGTGGTGGTGGTGGTGGTGGCGGCGGCGGCGGTGGTGGTGGTGGGGGTGGGGTGGGGGTGGTGGGGGTGGGGGGTGCGGGGTGCGGGGTGGTGGGTGGTGGCTGGTGGGCGGTGGTTGGTGGGCGGTGGTTGGTGGTTGGTGGTTGGTGGTTGGTGGTTGGTGGTGTTGTTGTTGTTGGAGTTGTCGTCGTCGTGGTCGTCGTCGTCGTCGTCGTCGTCGCGGTTGTTTTTGTTGTGGTCGTGGTCGTCTTCGTTGCAGTCGTGTGGCGGGTTGGTTGTTACCATGCCGTCGTATAGTGTGGGCTGTCACAACTGCAGGAACAGGGGCTTGAGCAGGAGACGATGGAAGCCATGCAGGCCATTCGTGATTCTCAGAGTCAGGTCGGTGCGGCTAGACTAGACCGCTAGAGCTGCTAGAGTTTCCTGGATTACATGAAAGCATTAACTATTATCTAACCAGCTTGTTCAACCCATCCGAAAGTGACAGTTGTGATGCACAGACTGCCGGTTCAGTCCAGGCTCCTTCCTCGCAGTCTTTGTTTGCTAGGTCTCGGTACTCAGGGCAAGGCACCTACCTGCTCATCCTCGTCGCAGTATCAGTGCTGGTGTACTCGCGACAGGTAACCGCCATGGTAATACGATAACAAACACGGTTCGTGACCACCCTGCCAACAGTCTTGCTTTGTTCACAGCCGAAGCCCGAGACAGCACAATTTCTCGTCGGATAAGATAGTGAATGTGTAAGGTTTGGGGGGGAAGAAAGTTTAGAAGGACACCAATCATAGACACTCCCACATGGACACATGTAGCTACACATGCATACGAGCTCGGTCTTAATGTCGCCGTATATTCCCTCCATATCTATACCATTCTATACCAAAAGATGCACCCCCAAACGTGTTGTAATTCTTAATCCCCTTGACTTCAACTCCTCGCCGAAGACTGGTCCGAAGGATGCCCTGGAGTCCCTCAAGGGCGAAAGCTTCGAAGCGCTCGGGGCCCGGGAATCCTAGGGGAGGGTCGCTGGCAATCCACCTGTAGCCCTTCTCCGTTCTGCAGATAGGCATGAGCTTTCCGCATACGTGCACCGCAGAAACCAATCGATGCCCAGCATCCAAAAAAACCCTTGGAGTTGAGATTGGATGTTCCGAGGAAGATGACCAAGATCCTCATTTCGGAGAAAATTGCTTTAGCGCTGGTGGCACTGCCGCCTGTTGTTCCGACCGCTTGCAAGGCCGGATGTCTCGGTAGTTTGGAGCGTGTCCTTGTCTGATCCGCACGAGACTCAAGAATACACTTGTAAATGGTTTTGAGCAGAGCCATGGGGAAGAATACCGGGTATGCACTGCTAAGTTCTTCAGCATCTGTCAGCAGAAAGAGCCCTGCGCCGGTACACCCAAGACAGGACGCGGGCATGCGTGGCCCGGTAAGCGCTAAGCCTTGAAAGAAAAGGCACGAGGCCATTGCTGACCAAGCGCACAAGCCGTACGATGAAGCTGTTTGCATCGTGCAACAGTGTTTTACCTAGTTAGTATAGCGTTACTCTGTTTGCAGGTTCCGCACGTTGTCTTTGGAATGCATCCGAGAGCCGCTCCGCGGCATTGGAATGAACTGGCTGCCAGTAGCAAGCCGCGTCTCTGACTCTTGCTGCTCCGTTCAGTCTTGTCACGAGATGCAGGGGGTCCAATCGTGAGCGATAAACGAGCCTTCAACTTCAATCCTGAAGTTTTCGATACACTGGAGCCAAAAAGCTCTTGAAGCAGGGCTTTTCTAAGAGGAGAGAGGTTGCTGCCACCGATTGGTAGACTGGCATGTAGCGCCTTGCCTTTCGCAACATGTGCAACCGTCCTTACCGATGCCTCTCTGCGGGGATGAAATTTGACACAGGGTGAAGGGCCACCGACTTGTTTTGTCCGCAAGAGAATGTCTCTGCGCCGTTAGGTTTGAAGTTGAGTGTCCATGCTTCTGCTCATCGTGCGATGTGTATACCGGCGAACTCCGGATCCTGGTTCGTGGAAAATGATCTATGCCTATGTCTGTCTCTAGTTGTGGAGCCTGACAGGGATTATAACAAACATGAGGATGTGATCCTATATATTATAGGCAGGCCCAAGCCACCTTTAGCTGGAGCTGTCAGGCTGTGCCTTGCAATTTCTCGCACTGCATGCCGCATACCTATTTGGTCAAATCAGACCCAAACCTTGTCATACACTAGTTCTGCCTCTTCCTCTGCCATGCTCTGCAATCTGCATTCTAAGCCGAAAGCCCAGGCCCCCGAATGGTCCGTGGAGCAAATGCTGGAGAAGGTTGCAGCAGAGAAGAACCAGAAGGACACTGCGATGCACACGACAGTAAACAGCATGAGATGTGTGAAGCCGCAATAGGAGTCTGCCTGTTCCGTGTTATGTTCGCTTCCGCGCCAAAGCCCCACAACGGCCTGCCACACTGTCACAGTCTGTCAGGTTATCATGGGATCACATGCGCAGATGCCGGATTGCCCTGCTATTGCTTGTCATGCACCTTCGAGTTATGAACTCATCCTGCTGCATGCGCACCCGTTCTTTATAACTTTCGTTGTGAGTGTATTTCCCAGGACAAAACCGTGACGTGCATAGAAATGCCGACGCCACGGCCGATGAAAGGCCACGGGCAGGGCAGCAGATGTGATTGCCGGGCATTTGAAAAATGCTCCTCGGAAAGTGTCATACAGCCTGCTGGCTTAGCCTGCATATTGCTCACAGATCAGTGAACACACGGTGCATCTCGGCTGTTCATCGGAAATCCCTGGAGAGGCTATATTCGGCTTCACACGGGCCAGAGCATCCAGAGCTAACTGCCCGTGCCGCCGGAAAAGCAGCAGGTGTAAGCTCTAAGTTCGAATGTTTTGTATGCAGCCCGTCCTTTGAACACCAGGGCTTGGATCCCCCAGAACCCCGTCGGAACCCTGGAAACCTCCACTTTCAGAGTGACGGAGAGTGAAAGAGGCCCGAAAACCATTTTGCTCCGCCTCCCCCTGCTGCTGCCTCCGATCCAGGCTTATCAGCTATGTTGCCTTCTCGGCAGGTCATGAGTCGCCAAATCTGACTTGCACTTTCTCGCGAAAGCTGTGCTGCTTTTTCAGCCTGCAGCTACTAGCACAGCTAGAGCTTGCTAGAGGCCAACAGTTTCCGGCAGCACTTACCTAAACGCAATCTGTCATGCTGATTCTTTGTTGAGGGGTTCGGGAAGTATATAGAGGTTTAGGGCTTAGAGGATGTAAGCTCTAAGCCAAGCTTCACATGTGTGTCGTCATCTTTGCTATCGATAGCGGTTGTTCATGCACCAGATTTTAAAGCCGCTGAACCTCCAAGCTTGAATGTGAGCCATGGGGGAGAAAGTCTGTGGTCGGAGCGGCTTCCTGTCTTTAGGCACATTGGTCTAAGAACCAGCCTTTTGCTTCATCCAGTTCTTGGGAAGGCATGTATCGGTATCAGGATGGCGCCAGTGCTGCAGCAAAGCTGGGGCTTGCTGCAGCACTTGAGTTCCGAATCTCCGGTAACCTCACCCGTGTTCAGGCATGCTTTGGTGGTCCTGCTGCCGCCGACGACACGCAATGACTCTTGCCACCCAAGACACAGGCACCTGCTGAAGTGTAAGGCTCAAAGAACTCCCCGGTCTTCGAGCCTTCTGCTACACGTGTGGGACCCCGTACCATGAGGATAAGCATGGATGTTTGCTGCATTTGTGAAGCTTCAGGCTCCGATGTTCTTGTGGATGATGTATTTTCGTTTTGTGTGAGTTTCCTTTGTTCACCCTCGGCTGTGGGCTTTTCTGGGAGAGGCCCTGGAAACTTGCTGGGCGCACAAAGAACGCCCCTTCCAGGGGCAAAGCCGACCGCCGGCACGGGTGGCAGCGGCCGCGCTGCAGGCCCGTTCAGCGACGAACCTTCTTTTTTGGCAGGGGCCGTGCCTGGCTGTACCGTATGGGGGGCTTCGACCGTGTATGAATCAGTCTGAAGTAATCATGATCTTGATTTCTCCCGGCCAGGACCTAGCCAAGCAGACCTTTACAGTTAGTTCTAAAATCGTCGTAGGGGCACCAGTACCGTCACCCGTCATGCCGGGACCTCGGTGCTTCGATCACCACCTCCCTTTTCTGTGGTTGTTCAGGCTCTCACTGGAAGTCAGCAGCCTGCGATGCGAAGCTGAGCCGCCTAAGTGCCTTGCAGACATCCACGGAAGTCTTCGAGGGAATGGTCAGGTGGCCCCGGAACCTGAAAGCCCACATCCCAGCATAGTCGGCCTTTGCTGTAGCAGGCATTTGCACTTAATGTGCTGGTTCGAGGCATCCCCAATGAGATCCGGTTCATCGTGCTCTTTGTTTGGAGAGATCCTGCCCAAGCATGTTGGCTCCCAGGCAGTCCTTGGATCACCTACCTGTTCTACTCTCCCACACGTTCCTCCATCGTCGGCGTGGCCCAACGCGACGATGTGGAACATGATCTCCGGTGACTCAGCCGGGCTTCATTTAATGTGGTCCTGAGACATCTGCAGAAGACCTGGCTGGTGTGCTGATCTGATACAAGGGAGTGCATTGACTATAGTCTTCAGAGAGCTACAGTAGGTGCTGCTGAGGCCTTGATCCTGTTTGAGGCTTCTCAGCTTTCAGTTTGCAGCGAGGTGGCACAACGGCGCAGCCCCCGAGCGTGAGGCTCCGATCGAGACGAAGCTGCTCAGGCCCTTCTCAGCTTTGGGTTTCTGGAACGGCCATCGAAAGCTTAGCATTCAGGGCTGTTGAATTGAAGGCATCGGGGAAGTAAGCCTGAGCCGATGGCACGTTATTATTTGTCATTGGGCCGGTCAGGCTGTTTGCCGGCCGATGCCGTAAGTTATATTTCAAGTTTGCCTGAAAATATGTCGTCCAGCTGCTAACTGCTAAAACGAGAAGGACAAACAACTATGCGGCCCTACTAATCAGGAACAGTGGAACAGTAACAGACAATAGAGATTAAAAAACATGGAAGCTCAGACTATGCCGGTGTCTGAATGCGGGTAGAACATACCAGCACGATGATCTTCTATAATAACAGCATACAAGTTCAATCGAATCTATGCCGAGTACCTTTAATTTCAAATCTACGCTGAATCACATGCTGCTGTAGTCTTGGATTGAGAGCCATAGTGCGCAAGGCAATGCTCAGACAAGCCCATGCAGTCTGACTCTAGCAGCCACAATCAGAGGGTCTCAGCTTCAACCCTTGAGGCCATGGCGGATAGCCGAGCCCCTGGGATAGCAAGCAGCAGGAGGCTTTGGTCTCGGCAGTGATGCTGTTTTCTCGTGGCCAACTTGTGGATAAGGCAGATTCAGCTATGGATCTGTTTGATGGGTCCTAAACCCTTACAGAGTAGCTATGTTGCTTGGCTGCAGGTTTCGAGGCTTCGAGAGCCAAAGCTCAGCCTCTGCTTTTGCCTGGCGCGTGAGCTTCTTGGCCGAATGCAGTTGGATTGGTGGGGTATTGGCTAAATGGCCAATGACTCGGACAACTTGAGGTTTGGCATTTTGAGCTTTACCGAGCTTTGCTCGTGCAGTGCCGAGGCCATGCCAGTGGTTTCCGCGCACGGCGCGCTGCAATGCTCGCTGGTTTGGGCGATGAGGAAGCGAAGTCTTGTAATTGACATCCAGCTTGAGCATGCGATTCTCATCCTGCAAGCCCCCCAAAATCATGCCGACAACTTGCTCCCTTCGTATTCGAGGCTGAAGCCTGCGATTTTGGGGATTCGAGCTGCCTTCTTTAAGTTAAGATCTCTCTAGACTTTAGTCTAGACCTCAACCGCGAGCCGGGTAACCTCGCAAGATCTCGCAAATCTCTCTCCCAAGCCTACTGTCTGAACCACAGCATTTCTGTTGAACCGCATGATGTCTCAGCATTTCGCGTGATGGGGGGGGGGGGGCGGGGGGTATTTGTCGACCTACACCCGCCGGTGAAACCAAAAGTAAACAGCTCCGACTTCAGGCGGACAATGTGACACAGCTGCCACTCTCGAAGGCCCAGCTTTGAGACTGTCCTTTTGCTGTCTGACTCCTGAAAAGATGCGGTACAATGTGCCGGGAAGGCACTCGACTCCTTGACTTACGCTGAAGTTGAGCCCCCTGGTGGAGACTAGTGCAGGGGAAGGGTTTCCATAAGGGTTAGTTAGGGTTCTGGAGATGGGTTACTGAAAGGATTCGATGCTTTACGGGAAAGTTTGAAACTGCATTGCTCCAGCTCTTGCCAGAGCCAGCGAGACGCTACAAAGCACTTCCTGCCACAGGAGACACCCACCGCGACCCGGACACACGCCATCTCGTTTTTCTAATGCCATCTCCAGAATCAACGTGGCATTCCTTCTTTGCAGTTTTGTCTTGTTTTGACCCGGAATCCATGCACGGCAAGCTCTTCCGACTTGCCTTCCTGGGAGTAGCTTGAGTGCTGCAAGCAGATAATGTTCGGGTGCGAAGGTAGCGCTGGACCTCCGATATCTCCGCTCGTGTTAGCTTTACTCGTGCCGCATGCCGAAGAAGGGGAAGCGACGACAAATGTAGCCACCTTCGATGCCAGACCCAGAGTCCCCCAGGTTCTGCCACCCAGCAGACTCCTCCCGCTGCGCGACCGTGCTGGCGATGGTGGACACAGGCTCCAACGACTGCGATCTCAACCAGGCTGTAATCGAGCCTTCGTTCCGGTCTTCAGCTCTGACAGGGTATGTAGGATGGTATGCAGACCCAGCGCCGTCCACGGAAGCCCAAGATTGCAGACGTGTAACAGTGCGACTGTGCGGTGCATGCATACAGTATCATCCGTTCGGCGAAGGAAAATGCATCAACGCGACACAAACTGACAGAAATGCCTAAGCTGCAAGCTGCACCTTCCCCTGTGCTGAGGACCAGCTCCGACTGCCGTTTGCGCGGGGTCATGGAAGAACTGTCGTGGAGACCTCCGCCAACAAGTTGGCTACTCATGCTGAGCTTGGATCTTTGCATGCAGCATCGGGCGAATGCATGAAGGGCCGAGCCGACCTCGCTGTCTACTGGTTCGGCTCTGTGTATGTAGCTCTGGCCCCACCCACCATGGGTTGCGGAAGCAGCCAACGCAATGAGCCTTCGTCAGGCTCATTCGGGACGAATCGTTGCTCTGTGCTTAAGATAGGCGAAGGCGCCGAGGTACCAGCCTGATGGTTTTATGAAGGTTTGCACCCGTTGTTATGACGTCCTTCGAGTACCTTGCGCTCCCAGCCGGAGCGCTACGAAGCAAAGCTCATAGTAGCGGTAGCAGCGAGTGTGAATCTCAACGAGCTGTGGAGCTGAGGTTGAGGTTCCCATCTACAAGGCCGGCGCTCGGCAGCCACCTTCCCTAGACGACATTGTGTCTTCTGCAGAGATGCAGATCTAGTGGATTACCGACGCAGGGACTCCGGCATGGGTTATCACGGCCCCGACATCCTTGCATCAAGCTTAGCTAGAGCACAAAGCACGGTGCAGTGGCATGATCCCTCTTACTGTCTTGTAAGATCGCCAGCGAGGGGCTGTCAACGTACAGACGCACAAAGGCTTGCAGTTCTGACGTGTGTGATCATGAGAGTTTCATGCGATGGAGGGCAGGCTGATAAGCACTTGTCCTAGAGCCGGACCAGCAAAGGCAGTAGATAGAGAGCCAGATAGCACATGATCTGCTGCTGTCAGGCAAAAGTTCGTCTGCTGGGCCGCGAGGCAGTGGTGGAGTTGAACCCTGCCGATGCGGACTACGAAGCCAGGGGAGGTGCCT